TCTTCCCAACTGCTGAACTGCTCCCTACCTGTTTCTACACAATGAAACTCGACCCCTCCTTCAAAGCTCTAGTACCACCTCCTCCATGATGCCCTCCTCCTTCTTGCCAAATGCCTGTGATTCAGCCTCTTCTGAAACCCCCAGCATTGTGTGGGTCTCTCTCATTGCTTTCATGACATCCTGCCTAATTGCTGGGCCCTACCAGCAGGAGCCCATAAAGCAGCAACCCAGCAAACATCTTTGAGACACTCAGAGTGGCCAGCACCATGTCATGCAAACACCAGACCCCTGGCAGAGGATTTCTATTGGCAAAAGGTTGACCACAGGACAGGGGCCTTATAGGAATGTCTCCCCAGGCCTCTGGCAAGCTTGACACACTGCCAGTTATCCAGGTACCTGCCCTCCCTGCCCAGGGAAAATCCCACCACAATCATGCACCAGGCAAGGGCTGTTTTCATGGCTCACGTCATTAATCCAGGGCCCGCAGCGCCTAGGAGTTGTGTGCACAGACGAGGGAAGCTGCAGTCCCTGAGGAGCTGCTATTCACTCCCCACCAGCTCCAGTGGGGCAATGTTTTCTTTTCCATCACGTGAGATGCTTCCAGCGGTGACAAACCTAACACCACCAACAGGAGGAGATAAAAGCCCTGTGGGTGTAAGTGAGGATCAGAGAGTGGCTGCATGTCTATGAAGGACACATGGACAGGCAAGTGTGAGCCACAGGACCAGCCAGCCACACATGACCCTTGCAACAAGAAACAGAAAGAAAAACAAGCTCTGACCAAAAGCAGAACCCGTGTGTTTCACCTCCAGGGCCCCTTCACTTCTCACTTTGCAGACGTGATCTGAGTGGCGTTGCTCCAAGGGGTTCAGTTTGGGCAAAACACATGATTTTAACCACCCCCACCCGGCCCAGCCAGGCCCGCTCCACAGGACTGCAGCGAGGAGCCAAGGAAGGAAGGAGAGAGGAGGCCGGGTTTCATAAGCTTCGAGGCACTGTGTGGGAGTGGGAGGCTGGACATTCAGGTCTGGCCAGCAGAATAATCCTGGGCCAAGATATCAGAAACCCAGATGGGAGGCCAAGTTCACCCTAAACTCAGAGAAATGGCCTGACCTTAGCCCCTCCCCTCCTCTCAAGTCAAGTGGGGGCAGCAACTGTCTGGATGTTCACAAAAGGCTGCCCAAAGTCCCTCCAAGAGGTCGAATCAATGGGCTTAGAAAAAGAACAGAACCTCATTCATGGAGGCTGGTAACAGTGCGGGAGAGGGTTGTCGACTCAGGCTGGCTTTGTAAGTATCACCTCTGGCCCAGTGATTCCACTCATGGAGAATCATCATAATGAAATAATCCTAATTAGAAAATAGAATCTTTACACATGTGGATAGTATAATTTATGATCATAGAAAAAACAGAATGCATCTAGGTAGCCAAGAAGAGGGAAATGATAAAGTGAACTCAGTGAAACCACTCAAAAAAGGTTCAAAGACGATGATGACACTGAAATTGGCGATGAGTAACATGAACTGAAAATGTCATGAAATACCGCTTTACTTTTAACCTTTCTTTCATTTTGGGGGTTTAAATGAAGGTTAAAAACACTCAAAATGCTTTAAATACAGAGTATAACTCCTATTTCACCTAAATTATTAAAAAACTACATGTTGGGAAGATCTAAGATAACCGAGAATGATGATGATGTTTATATAGCAGTAAAAGGATGACTGTTTCTCTATTTTAATGTAGTTTTCAGATATTGTCTTATAATTGGGCATTGCTTTTAAAACAGAAAAAGAAATAAACGTATTTTATAGGTAGTTGAAGTACAGAAGGGTGATCCTTACATTGCGAGAGGAGGGTGAAAAGAGAGGCTTGAACACAGAGAAAATAATCTGGATTTCTGGGGAAAACACCAGATGAGATCTCCTAAGACATAACTCAGGGAAACAGAGCTTTTCTGACTCAGCCTTCCTGGGCGGGACCAAGCACTTATGACCCACCCAATGCTCCATTCTCACTTTCCCAAAGGAACGCTGTGAAACAAAATAACCAAAATAGCACCAATTACGCAAGAACAAATCCATCAGCAAAGGCCAAAACAACAGCAATTTCTATGATTTAAAATAATGAATACCAAAAAAGGCAGCAATAAAGAGCCGTGACAAAACCAAAACGGCGCCCACAGTGCCCGAAAACAAAGCATCCTTCGGAACACTGCAGGAATCCCAAAGCATCTGACCAGAAGGAGCTCCGCACGTGGCCAAGGGCTGTGCAGCCGCCAGACGGCTCAGCAGAAACACCCAGCCCATGCGGGAACTCCAGGATGCTCATTTCATTTTATGAATAGCAGGTTCTGGTAACTGCTCAAGACTCTCCTCTTAGGAATCAGACTTTGGGCAGATGTAGAATAATCTCTGGCAGCACATTACTATTCGTCTGAATGCCCCCTGGAAAGGCTGGTGTTTGGGTCTGCCCACTGCACATCTCACACAGCTCCTTCCTTACCTCCTGACTCAGGCCCCTCAGAGGCATGGACCACACTTGGGGGAACACCAACAATCAACCCACTGCATGGACAGCAAAGCTCTGGCCAAAGCCTTGACTCTCCAGACATCACCCACTGGGCACGGCCAGTAGGTGACTACAGTAGGGTAGTCAGAGGGGCAGAAGGACGGCAGCCTGGGGCTCCCTAACTTGTGTCATCTGCACTTCACAATTCACCTCCCTAGCACCATGAGACAGAAATATCTTCTCATCCTGACAATCCCCAAGGAGGGTGGTCTATTTTCCTTCCCTCTGGTAGCCCAAAGCACACCTTGGCCTAGAGGCTAGCACATGGTGGGCAGAGACCTAACAGTCGGCAAGGGAGGGGGGACGAGGAAGGCCAGGCACACCTCTTCCCAGATTTTGTGCTAACCCTTGTCGGTTCTTTGGTCACAGGCTTTCGTGTAAAGCCAATCATGCATGTGGAACAACAGGACTGGATAGGCCCTAAAGGCCCATCTAGTCAACACTTTTAAACTAGTTTAATCATGGAACTCTCCTTTCTTAAAGATTTTATTTATTTATTTATTTTTAGAGAGAGGGGAAAGGAGGGAGTAAGAGAGGGAAACAAACTTCCCTATAAGAGAGAAATACTGATCGGTTGCTTCTCATACATGTCCCAACCAGGGATTTGGCCCACAACCCAGGCGTGTGCCATGACTGGGGATTGAACCAGCAACCTTTCACTTTGCAGGACTATGCCCAACCACCTGAGCCATGCTGGTCAGGGCTGATGATGAAGCTCTTTGAGCAAATGGAATCCTACTCCAAAGCTTGGTCAACACAGTGATCAAGGTCGACCGCTAGGAGTAAAGTCAGGGCAAGAGAGGTAGATAAGGTAGAATCGATCTTCTTGGTTCCCCAAACTACAGAATCCTAAAAGGGATTCCTGTGACCCTGGACTCTTCTGATCAAGACAGCTCACTAGATCAGATTCATCATTTACAGGCTGGGAAACTGAGGCCTACAAAGCCAAACTGGCTCAGCAAAAGGCACGTGAGTGCTTAATGGCAGAACTATAACCAGTGCCTACACCTGTCTTTCCCCCCTCAAATCCAGGGGAGCAGGAACCACACCTCCTTCCACTCTGAGCACCTGCACCAGGCTTGCCTTGAGAGAGAGAGCCCACAGGGCCCACCTGAGGGAGTGCAATAACTGTTATTTGGAGAAGCTGGCCTCCATGAGACAGCTCTGTCATTTAAATGGCTGCATAGCCCTGGGCAAGTCACTCAAGTCCTCAGTCACTCTCATCCACAACCTTGAAGGGCTAGTGAGAGGACCCAGGAGCTGACAGAGCCACACCTGTTTCTGTGAAGAATCACAAATGCTAGCTCTTCTCCCCATGCCCTTTTGGTGAGCTCGTCTCCTCTCTCCTCAGACCCCTGCTCAGTGAAGCCCCCCTCAGCCCTCGCCTCACAGCCCAGAGAACATACTGGGGCCTCCGTGGTGCAGGAACTTGCCCTATGGAGACAAAGTCTAGGTTTTCCCATGGTATGACAACCTGCCAACAAAACCGAGCCTCGACCTCCAACTCCTGAATGCCTGGCTTACCAGACCCCTTCAAATGGTGGTGCTCTCAACACCCCTCTCACTTCTGGTCTGCCGGGCCACAGCAACAGGCCTCCACCAAATGTCCTGCTGTCCCCTAGGCAACTGGGTTCTGTCTTGTCTGGGAACTACTGGAAACTCAACGAGTCACAGTTTAAGAGCTGCTACCCCAGGACGCCAAAACTCCCCTCCTCACCCCTAAAAAGGCTCAGGTCATGGTTCACCATGGCCAGAAACAGGGCAATATCCAGGGCTCCAGAATCAATCAAGGACCATCTGGAGAAGAATCCTGAAGCCTAGGAGACCTCTCAAGTGGGAACACCCCTAAGGCTTGTAGTCCAAGGATGACCAAACCTGCCAGCACTTCCACACAAGACCGACCTATCCCCCACCAGACAACCATATCTCTTCTGCCCTGGTAGGGACCAAAGCACAGAAAATCCTTTCATTAGGCATCAGTGTTTTCAAAAAAAAAAAAAAAAGTCCTACTCACTCATAATTTGCACCTCTCACATCTAGATTTGGTATTTTACAGTCAGATAAGTACAGATTCAACCTAGAAAAAACAGGATCACAGATCTGGATGGAGGGTCACCTAGTCCTACTGCCATTTATCAGATGAGCAGACTGAGTCCCAGTGGCTGGGTGCGTGCAGGGAGCAAAGTCAGGGCTGGAGCCCAGATGCCCTGATCCAGGGACATCACACTGTGCCACTCATGTCATGGGCGCTCTGCAACCTAGGGTCCTGCCCTTGATTCTCGGGGCAGGAAGGTGTTACACAGAGGGTGTGGCTGGCCCCTTCGCCCTCTCTTTGTGCTTTAGTGAAGTTCCTCTGATCCAGGGCACTGGCACTACCTGGGCCAAGATAACAGAGGCAAACACCAAATACCAGGGGCTAGCAGTCCAGGTTACCTTTGGGCATGATCTGATGCATGGCGACTGAGAGGAAGAAGATGGAGTCGCTGTAGTAGGTCCCGGAGCCAGCACTGAAGTGCTTCTGCATGGCCTCCACCACGGGGAAGAGCTTGTCCGTCAGCACGGCGACATCATGGAAGACAACCTGCAGCAGGGCACAAGGAAACCACAGGACACTCAGCACACACATGGGCCCACAGAGGGGAGACACACAGTGCCCCCTCGAGGTCACCAGCAGGGCACAAGGAAACCACAGGACACTCAGCACACACATGGGCCCACAGAGGGGAGACACACAGTGCCCCCTCGAGGTCACCAGCAGGGCAGCCCAAGTGAGAGTCAAGGAAATGGGGACAGTGATAGGCTGGCTATGGGGATGGGGACATCGTGTGTGACGGCTGTACAGGCATGCACGCGGTGGGTGTACTGGAAGAGGAGTGGCAGTGAGGACAAGGGACGGGAGCAGCCCCCAGTCTGCTTTTGACTTCTGAGCTACAATTGGGCCATCCTGAAAGTAGTTCTTTGCCTGGTGACTGGAAACCATGTGAAACTGTCTGGTCCTGAAATTAGGACACTCAGCACATCGGGGTGGCCGGCACTGGCCGCAGAATTGCCACTCCTGGTGACTGCTACACATTCCTTGGTCCAGCCGGGTGCTCCACCGCCCTTGCCCAGCACTGTGAACAATGAGAGGGTCCCTGGAAAATGGGAGCCCGAAAATGTGTAATGCCACAGGAAACACATCCATCGACCCAACCAGCATTTTGTGGGTGTCCCAGACATATAGTAGGTGCTGTGAGAGGTACAAAGAATAACCTCCGATATTTCACTGCTGCTCAGCAGAGTTCTGCAGCTTATTCTCACACACACACATCCCCATGACAACCTGGGACGTCAGTGAGGCAAATATCACTGTGATAGCTCCAAATTACAGATGAGAAAGCAGATGCTCACAGAGGATACACTTGCCTAAGGTCACCTAGCTAGTAAGTGGCAAAGCCAGAACTTGAACCCTGACCTCCAGATCCCAAGCCCCATGGTTTTCCCACTATAAATACACCCTCTTTCCGTAACAGCAACCAATGGGAGAGGAAAACACCAACAGAGCCAGTGATTAGAGCAGACAGAGCACTAGCATAACCATAATGAGTTACTCCTTGTTAGACATTAGTCTATATTTAAGTCCAACCCTCCTGGAGCCCCAGCCTCATTCAAGATACCAAATCACCATGCCCTCTGCTCACACACTTCTTTTAAGTGCTCCCTGCTGCTCTGTGTGCCCCGCAACATCTAAAACACTCCATTGTACACAAGAGGCACTCAGTAACTGCAGCCCACGCCAGAAGCCCAGATAGTCTTCTTCCCCCACTCCCCTCACAAGAGATCGGCTGATGACCCCTTCCATTTCCCTCCTCCCTGGAAGCCAAAAGAACAGGGCAAGCCGGCAAGGCTGACACATGCTGCTCAGCCACCACACCAACTCCAGGGTGAAGAATGCACCTGAACAGGCGCCAACAGCGAAAGGAGAGGTCACGCGAATCCTGACTGGTTTGCTTACATTGTCAGTGGCCATGCCAGCAGGAGGAAAAACAGGTGTGGCTGGTGCCTGAGGAGCTCTCAGGCAGGTAGGCTCCATCTTGCCCTGTACTCTGCCCAGGCTCCTTCCTGGTCCAGTCTCACGGCGCCGCCTGCCGGGCCTGCACTCCAGCGCCGTCAGGTGTCAGATCGTTAGGATGACCACCTCTCGAGCCCTGCCGTGGTGGCAAACCACCCTGTCTGCTTTTCCCGACGTCACGTTCTGTTTTTGGCCAGGAATCTGTTTTTATCTGAACTCAAGTGTTTGCTTTTATCCTTAGGTCTGCTTAAATTTCTAAACCTCTATTAAACTTAGAAGAACTTTTATGTGTGTTAGTCCTCATCATTCCGTAACTGTAATCCTTGAAAACCTGTTATCTCTTTAGAACAGTCTTTTTAAGATCTCTTGACATTTCTAATGTACTATTTTCTTTACCCTTTTTCTGACTTTTCTTTTTCTTTTACTTTTTCTTTTTTTGTGGCCTCTCAACCTGAGACAGGGAATTCAGACCAGCTCTGCAGTTTCCCAACATGGATACTAAATCTTTTACTTCCTACACACCATGAGCTGCTCCCATCCCGCCCCTGTGACTTCCTGACTAGACAGGCATCACAAACCGTGACAACGTGTCCCCTGGCCTTGCCTCCTTCCAAACCAGCCTCTGCCAAGCCTCTCGACTAACCTTCTATGTATACAAATTCATTTCTCTTTTTCCTTGGTTTCAAATCCTCCGGTGGCTCCTCACCGCCCTCAGTTATAGTCCAGAGGCCCCAGCGAGGCTTATGAGGCCCTGCACCAGTGGCTCTGGCTACCTATCCTTCCCTCCTCCTCTGGGCACTGGGCAGAGCTAAACGCGGCAGTCCTCGCCCTGCCCACCACACCTCAGTGTCCCATGTCCTTGTATATTTGTACCTGCTCTTCGAACAGACGGGAACCCCCTCACCCAGCCCAACTCCTCCCTGCCTTCCCCCGTCTGCCTAGTAAACGCCTATCCAGTCTTCCAGCTTTGCTTGGACACTTAACTCCAGCCTTTGCACAACCTCCCACCACTCGTCATGCCTTCGTGTGCACCCTGTAGAGGCTCCACTACTGGTCTGTTTCTACATTGGCTGTATGGGGTACTTCTTGAGGCCAGAAGCTATGGCTGCTTTGTGCCCTGTGTCCAGCCCTGGACCCCCTGGCAGTCCACCAATCAGTTTAGGTTTGCTGAACTAAATGAATCATACTTTGGGCAACTTAATAAGCCTCTCTGAGCATCAAATACAGAATCAACAACACCTACTTCCTGTGGTGGCTGTCAGGACTACCTGGGACATGCAGACACAGTGCCTCGCTCAGAGGCCGCCACGCTGCACCTAATCCTGACTGTTAGCATCCTGTCCCCACCTCCCGCTACCGTCCCTGAGTCCCTCTCCTCACAGACCAGCCTTCACTCATGAGCCAGCTTTTCCCTGTGAGCCTCATTACCCCTCCAAACCACTGCTGGAACCAGGAATTTGACAAGAAGCTGGAGCTGACAGGAGGGCTCTCAGAGATCTGGAAGCCTCTGCATTCATTAAAAAAGAAGAGAGAGAGAGGAGATGTGTAACCAATCTCTCTCCCCCTCCTCCTCCCGAGCAGGGCCCGCCACAGCCAAGCTAGGGAGATAACAGAGATTACAGGTGCCAGATTCTTCCCCCGCTTAGGTCCGCACCTCATCCCAAAGCTTCACAGGAAACAATTACATCCCATCAGCATTAATAGATTTATGAGGACAAACTGTACTCAGCACATTGTTCCAAATGCTGTACAGTAAAGCCTGCTCCAATGAATATTTCACACAATAAATCTACTTAAAGATAAATTAATATGTTCCATGGATCTTGATGCAGCAAGAAACAAGCCATAGGCACTGCAAGTGTGAATCAAAATACCCAGGTCTGGCCCTGGCTGGGTAGCTCAGTTGGTCAGAGCATCACCCCAATACACCAAAGTGGTGGGTTCAATCTCCGGTCAGGGCACTACAAGAATCAGCCAATGAATGTGTAATTAAGTGGAACAACATGTTGATGTTTCTCTTTCTCTCTCTTTCTCTATCAATTTAAAAAACAAACAAACAAACAAAAACCACCCAGGACTCCCAATGTCTAAAACAGATTTGCAAACCATGATCTCCCCAGGGCAAGGTCAGTCTGGCACCTTCTGAGGCCCCCAGCCCTGCCCAGGGCCCAGTGCCAGGAAGGCGTAGAGAAGCAAGAGCGATGCAAAGAGAGAAAAATAGAGGGAGAGAGGCAGAGAAAATGCCACTCTCTTTCCGTTCCTCCTCCCTTTCAAATCTCCCACATCAGGGGCTACAGAAGAATTACCATGTAACCTAGAAACCAGAAAACGTATAAAGTGACTCCCACATTGAAGGCTATAGGCCAATGAGATCCAAAACAATGGTTTGCACCAAGTTGACCATATGATTCTGGGGGAAATAGATTAAAAAGTCAAATCACTATTTATAACTTTTATTTATATATTCATTTAGTGTATTTAAAATTTAAAAAATCATTAATTATAAAATATTATTTTTCTAACACCCAGCTAACAAAATGATTTCCTTTTGAACTCTTCACATATGTCCTCAACCTTAATGTCGTCACCAAATCTAGAGTGAAGTTGAGTCATGCAAGCAATTTTCCAGGACACATCATCCTTGTCATCCATTTAAGGTGTTAGGTACAGCTCACTATGACATTATGTAGAATGTTGTCATTGGACATGGCATCCCAACCCACAAGTCCCATGTTCCTATCATTAAGGCAGCTGGGTTTTTTCATCAGTCTATAACCATATATTTATAGCCACTTACTACCTTCCTTTTATTGGCTATTTTTAAAGGCTCACTTATATCAATATTCTACACTTATACTTAGGAGATCAAAACCCCAGAAATAATGACTAAACCTGTTACATTTCTTTGCCTCCTTTTATTCTTAATGAATGCTGTTGTGTGACTCCAGAAGCACCCGAGTTCTGTAATGACTAAGGTTGTTTCAGGCTGAGCTGTTCTCAAACTGTACCTTGCCATTCAAAATAAAGCATGTAGTAGAGAGAGTACTGTGTAGTAAGACTTTGAAAAGACTCAACTCATTGAATAAAGGACAATTTAGGGATGAGGGGGAGGGGAGTCTTGCCTCAAAACCACCACACACAGCACACTCTCAGCACTTCCAACGTGGGGCGGCCAAAGCAACCAGAACAATCAGCCTGGTGCCAGGCAGGGGCCAACAATTTTGCCAGGCTGAACCTGGGTTTGCCGGCACAGACAGGCCTGAAGAACCAGGCCACTGCTCCCCTAAATGTTCACTGAGGACAAAAAGTCATGCCAAGTCTTAGCTCGATTTGGTGGAGAAAACTCACGTGTCACTTGACGTGCCCCACGGGGAACCAGGTCACGCAATGCTCCTGGATCCAAGAAGGGAAGTGGCAGGAGCTGGCCCTGCACACAGGGAGACGCTACGTTTCCAGGAAACACCGATGTCTGCTTAAAGAACAGCAGCTCCTCCAGCCACAGACAGCAGTGCTCGGCCAGACACTGACCC